ATCATAAGGCCCTTAGACCTGCTGTCAGTGGACGTTCAGCTACAGGGGTCGGCTACTGACCACCGTTTGACACACACACACACACACACACACACACACACACACGTTATTTATCACACTTTGACAGAATCTACAAAGAATGATGTCACCGACCGCAGCAACACAACAGCCCCCCCGACCACGGTGACCTCACTGGATTGACAGGTCTGAGTCTAACTGGACTCTTTGTGCCGTGGTGCTGCTGAAGATGAAGAAGATGAAGATGAAGATGACTAAGAGTGAGTCATCTTCATCTTCATCTTCATCTAAACAGTGGTAGAAGACGACGACTCCTCACAGGGTTTCAGTACTCACATCTTACAGTACTTCTACTGCCTTCTACAGTGAAACAAATGTAGTGAGAAATAAAATGATCTCACACACACACACACACACACACGCACACACACACACACACACCTAATCCGACCTGGATTACTGTGATTTATTATAAACACATCCCGTCTGTGGTTTTCTCCCCTTCAGTTCAAACCACTTCCACTTAAACAAAGAACTGAAGCTGTCAGTCCCAGTCCCAGTCCTAGTCCCAGTCCTAGTCCTAGTCCCAGTCCACGTCCCAGTCCCAGTCTAAGTCCCAGTCCCAGTCCACGTCCCAGTCCAAGTCCAATTCCCAGTCCAAGTCCCAATCCCAGTCCCAGTCCACGTCCCAGTCCCAGTCGCAGTCCAAGTCCCAGACCCTGTCCAAGTCCCAGTCCAACTCCCAGTCCCAGTCCTCGTCCTAGTCCTAGTCCCAGTCCTAGTCCCAGTCCACGTCCCAGTCCAAGTCCCACACCAAGTCCCAGTCCAAATCCCAGTCCAAGTCCCAGTCCAACTCCCAGTCCCAGTCCTAGTCCCAGTCCCCGTCCAAGTCCCAGTCCAAATCCCAGTCCAAGTCCCACACCAAGTCCCAGTCCAAATCCCAGTCCAAGTCCCACACCAAGTCCCAGTCCAATTCCCAGTCCCAGTCCTAGTCCCAGGCCTAGTCCAAGTCCCAGTCCTAGTCCCAGTCCCCGTCCAAGTCCCAGTCCCCGTCCAAGTCCCAGTCCAATTCCCAGTCCAAGTCCAAGTCCAAGTCCCAGTCCAACTCCCAGTCCCAGTCCTAGTCCCAGTCCTAGTCCAAGTCCTAGTCCTAGTCCCCAGTTTTACTCCTTTGTACTTCATGTTTGTTTGAATATCACTGCAGTACTTGTCATGGCCTCCAGTGTTTTCTCAGTGTCAGGCCTGAAGATCAGAACCGATGAAGACTACATCCAGTGGAGAACTGTTGCTGGACGTCTGTGTCATGTGACCTCTGTTCTTGACGTCAGACCTTTAAACAGAAAGGAATCGGTTCCTTGTCAGATTATTATTAGACTCCACAGTTGTGTAACGTGGTCAAAAATAACCTGGTGGTCAGAGCGTGCATTCACATGCTCCAGTGACCAGTGACTGAGAAGGTGAGGGTGGCTCAACATAGAGGGCACTGTTGTCACGGCAGGACGTTTCTGCCCTGACGGTCCTGATGTTTCTGCTGGACCAGCACCAACAACGTGGACCAGACAGGTGACAACAGCGCAGCCCGGTGACTCAGACACAGACTGCAGTTTTTATCACTGGTCCCTGATCTCTTCCTTCGGCCAATCAGCACAGACCAGAGAACCAGTGAGGTCATCGCTTCCCTGATCTGTGGTTTGTCAAATGATTGAGCAACGTGGCCCGTTGACGTACGCGACCCAGAACTTGATGACTCCACATAATCAGCACAGTTGGAGATGAGAGGTTTGGACTCCTGGTTTGGTGAAGTACCAGGTGAGACACGTACCAGGAGCTTCAAGCTTTAGCTCCTGAGGTGTGTGTGTGTGTGTGTGTGTGTGTGTGTGTGATCACAGTCAGGTTCTCCTCATTACTGAAGAGAAGCTGGGCCGTTCCTCTCCTCACCTTCGTTCCTGGTTCTGCTCAGTTTTGTGGAGAAGACATTCCAAATTCCCATTCTGGAGACGTGGTGTGGCCCACGTGGGCCAAGTTATTCTCAGTGACGGAGTCGGATTATACGTCCATCCATATGCAGCCCGTG